GCTTACACACATTATTAGAAATGGGCTAAATTAATATGTGAGAATTAGCCTAGAAGAGGCTAGATAGAAACGGGCCAAGCAGTCTTTAAATGAATACAGTTTGTGTGTTGTTATTTCGGGCATAAGCTAGCAGGCAGCTGGGGTGCTGGGGACGCAGCCCCGCCGCTCTTATTTCAACAACTCCAGAAGGATATAATATTACCTAAGTAAACAGGAAGTGCATTGTAAGCAACTTCCAAAACTCTAGAATTGACAGTGACTTCTTGCTGCCTGGACAGTCACCCAAAGTTCTTCTGTACCATTGGGGCATCCATCTTCAGCCTACAGGCCCATAGTATACAGAAGACTTTCCCACAAAGCAGAAAATTTCAAAGACACTTCCACCTGTATTGACAGTTTGTCAATCACTTTCTTCTGTGCTCTGAGTGTGTCTGGCAGTCTCTTTAATGAAGCAGGAGCCCGAAGGCCCTTTCTCACCTTTAGGCAAGTTCAGCAGACATTTCTCTGTGGGTCCTGCATGTCCAGTTCATCAAGCAGTCCAGGTTAAGAGCAGTTTCTTGGCCAAATGGCTAATCAACTCCATAAGGAGTCTCTTCAGTGCCCATCATTCTCTTGAAATAGATTGGTGCTGCCAGGAGCAGATGTGTCTCATTGTCATTAAAAGTCTTAAGTTAATAATGTAAACATTTTAAATGCCGTATTCTGAAGGTCTCTGAACGATTTGAAGAATACCTATCTAACTGAAATATACCTCTATACATCTAGAAAACCTAACTAACATGACTAGAAGCTTGAATATTATAGATGACTCTCTATTAACCTGTATTTCTTAATTATTCATTACATTTTTTTTTTGGTTTTTTTGAGACAGGGTTTCTCTGTGGTTTTGGAGCCTGTCCTGGAACTAGCTCTTGCAGACCAGGCTGGTCTTGAACTCCCAGAGATCCGCCTGCCTCTGCCTCCCAAGTGCTGGTATTCATTATATTTTTAAATGTGCTGCACAAACACAATACCATAATCAAGAGCAGAAATATGCACAAAACAAAAACTGATCTTAAACTCATATCAATAAACCAAGATTGGGGCTGGAGAGATGGCTCAGAGGTTAAAGAGCATTGCCTGCTCTTCTAAAGGTCCTGAGTTCAATTCCCAGCAACCACATGGTGGCTCACAACCATCTGTAAATGGGTCTGGTGCCCTCTTCTGGCTACACAGACAGAATACTGTATACATAATAAATAAATAAATAAATAAATAAATAAATAAATAAATAAATAAATAGCCAAAAAAAAATAAAACAAGATCCATACCAATGCAAAGTATCTCCATATCCTTTAAATGAAACAAACCATTTATAAACAATATTTGGGAATTTGGAAATAGTTCTTTTTCAACTGCTTCCTGCTTTTGTTGGGCAAAGTAATTTTTGGGGGTGTTTATGATGACTTTTCAGGGGGTCTTGTTCCATCGAACCATATTAGTCTGGAAGAATTCCACAGGTTGTCATCCTCCGTGGAAACAAAAGAAAAACCTCTTTTCCAAAACAACAAATTCTTAGACCCAAATTTGGAAGTCATGATACCTTTAGAACATATATGCTGGTTCAGCTTAGCAGCCTACACAATGAAATATCTCTCTGTACTTAGCTCCTTCACAGTCAAAAAATTCAGAGAAAACACAATAGTATACATAATCATGACTCTCTGTGTATATTCCATCTTTACGTGGCTTATTTTTTTACTGTATTACTTTTTACTATTTATTTTATTATCTTTACTTCTTTAATCTATGGAGGTCTGTACTCTGTCTCTTTAAATACTTTGTTTTATTTTTTTAAAACCATTTACTTCCTTTTATGACTCTCTATACTCATTATCTTCTCTCTCCCAAACCTATGCACATATTTTAAATGCACCATGTCTCATAAAATGTCTTTTATGTCTGAATCTGTCCTTATTGCATATCTGTAATCCTCTTCTAGCCAGGATGATTTCTTAAAATACTAAGCACTTCTTAAAAACACAAGCAGCATCATTGCTCGGGGTAATATAGCCCTGGCTGCTTGCTCTGCTCAGTCCAACATGGCAGAAGTCCGGTAGTGCCTGAGATTGCCGGGTGTGAGCCATCCTCACTACCTCAATTCTGATAACCAGTTGGCCCATGGTGCCACCAAGTAACTTGGAGCATGCTGTCCACAAACACCATTTAAATGCTCAGCCTCCTGAAAGAGCCAGTTTGCACTGGCAGCACTGCCCAGAAAACTGCTGTTTCCAAGCCATACGGCTTTTTTCTGCTGCCCCTGAATCAGGAACCCCCTCTCTCTCTGGTTTTTCAAGACAGGGTTTCTCTGTAGCTTTGGAGCCTGTCCTGGAACTAGCTCTTGTAGACCAGGCTGGCCTCAAACTCACAGAGATCTGCCTGCCTCTGCCTCCTGAGAGCTGGGATTAAAGGTGTGTACCACCACTGCTCAGCTAGGAGAACCTCTCTTAAAGGAGCTGCAACATGCTACCAGTAAGCAGAGCCCATTCAAAAAAAATGCAGCTAAATTTTGTTTTTTTTTAGTGTCTAGAATTCCTTTCCAAGCCCTCTAAGATGTTATATGAATTTAGTCAACCATGTTAGAGTGCCAATTTGTAGTAAGGAGGCCACTTATTTGTTTCCTGGCTACCCAGACTCCTGAAATAACCACACAGAAACTGTATTAATTATATCACTGCTCGGCCAATTACTTAAGCATATTGCTAGCTAGCTCTTACATCTAGAATTATCCCATCTACATTATTTTATATTTTACCGTGAGGCTCATGGCCTACTAGTAAGGTTTCAGCATGTCTGTCTCTGACGGGTGACTCCATGGCTTCTCCTTGACTCTGCCTCCTTTCTCCCAGCATTCAGTTTAGTTTTCCCCAGCTAGCTTTACTCTACCCTATCACAGGCCTAAGACAGTTTCTTTATTAACAAATGGTATTCACAGCATACAGAGGAGAATCCCACATCCACATCAGAGAGGGATACTCTGAAATGACAAGGCAAAGGTTTGTGACAGGCAAAGATATGCTTGCCTCTGGCTTGTTGGCAAAAGTCACTGTCTCGGCAGAGCGCAAAGTTATAGAGAAAGCAGGTTTGAGATGTGACCTAGTAGCATAGCATTTATATAGCCTGTGTGATACCCTGGGTTCCAACTTCAGCACTTGAAAACAATAAGTCCAAAACCAAACAGACAAAAATAGTCAGCAATTTGGAAATAAAAATAGACTATTTTGGACCACTTCACATGGGCATGTGGGAGAACTGAAGAAGAGAAGGAAAGGGACACGTTAAGAGTTTTAGAGTAAGGTTCTCTTGCACCAGGAACTCTTTCCCAGCAGTTGTTCTCTCCACACTCAACACTGTCTCCAAGTTGGGAGCCCTGATTGCATCAGTGTTGAGCTGGGGAGGTACAGAAATCAGCCTAGGCCAGAGACCTGCTGGAGAGGGTGTCACTTCGCTTCATCGGCACAAGGAGGTAGAGACTGTGACTACAGGTCACCTTCAGACAATAATTCCCAGCGTCAAATGGGTCAAGAGCCACAGCCATGATGGACTGGGGTGGAGGCTGCTTTCTCATTCTAAAGCCCTGGTTCTTCCCTGAAGCTCCTGTTTCTGGAGCCCAGGTTACTGCAAGGTCTAGATGGTGTGCTGCCTATAAAGCAAACAGACCTCTGTAGTGGTATGTCATTTGTATTTTAATAAATAAGATTTGCCTGAAGATCAAAGAGTAAAACAATCCCCCTGGTCAGCCTTACAGACCAGGCAGTGGTAACACACACCTTTAATCCCAGTAGCCACACTAGTTGCCACACAAACTGGGCAGAGCATGCCTTTAATCCCAGTGGTGCACACCTTTAATCCCAACCCTAGAGAGGATTATAAAACAGAAGGAGACAGCTCACAGACACAGTCTCATCCTGGAGGCAGGATCACCATTTTGGACTGAGGTAGAGGTAAGAGCCAGGGGCTGGCTGTTTTGCTTTTCTGACCTTCAGGTTGAACCCCAATTTCTGTCTTTGGGTTTTTATTAATTGTGCTACAGACCTCAGTAACAGATGCGTCTGTCTCTACCCTGTGGTTGTTTCATGGTGCACCTAGGTGCAGAGGTGACTGATCTGCCATACTGTCTTTTGTAAATGCCGCTTATTTTGCAGAGATCTAGCTAACTCCATATTTTTTTCTTTTTCTTTTTAAGATAGGGTCTCATGTATCCCCGTCTGGCTTTGAACTTGCTATGTAGTTGAAAATTATCTTAAACTTCTGATTCTCCGACCTCAATCCTTAAGAGTTTTGGGGTTACAGGCATGGGCATATGGTGGAATTTGAACCCCAAGCAGGACCAATCGGGCCAACTCCCAGTCCCTGGCACTCCTTCTCAACCTCTCTGTGGCACTAGCCCATGTCTTTCTGTCTCCTTGGTATGCTGAACATACCTTCAGTCCCTCACACACAAACTTTAAAAAAAAATTCTTTTTAAACAAAATTTTGTGTGTGTTTTGATTGCATGTATGTTTATACACCATATGAGTGCAGTACCCACAGAGGCCAGTGAGGGCATCAGATATTACAGAACTAGAATTACAGACAGTTGGCAGTAGAAAAGTGGTTACTCAAACAGTCCTTTAGAAAAACAGCCAGTACTATAAATCACTGATCCAGCCTCAAAAATCCTCAGGAACTTTTTTAATGGCCTCTGAATAAAGTTAACGTTGCAGGTATATTGTTTAAGAGTCAACGCTTCGTTTTCCCCCGCCTATAGGGTGGGTGAAAGGCGAGCAGTAGTCTTCCCAAATCTGTGTGTTGCTAGAACCTGAGAAAATTAACATCGCCCCGCCTCCGCCTCCTGCGCCTGCGCGAAATCCTCTGCCTGCCAGTTTCAATTCACACTGTGTCCGTCCCCGCTGAGCGCTCGAGGATTCGGCGCTCGACCATCGTGTGTCAGTCTGCCTTCCGGTTTCACCCTGGTGTGCCTGCCGAGCGCCGAGCTGCCGATGGCGATGTCTGCCGCGAGTCTCTGAGGCATCTCGGGGGCCCGGAGTCGCGGCCGGAGGTCGAGAGTAGACTGCCGGCCGCGTTTCGGAAGCCGCAGGGCGTGAGGGAGGGTGTCGGCCCGCTCGGAGCCGCCACCGAGAAGGCGGCGGTGGCTGAGGTGGGTGTGACGTGTGACTTGAAGCGACGAGGCGGTGGGGAGCTGAGAGGCTCTGAGGGCCTCGACGGCGCGTCCCTGCCCCTGCCGTGTTGCGGGGCGCCCGCAGAGTCGCGGTCCTGCGGGTGCGCGTGACCGTGCGGACCTCTGCGGTGCCCGTGGCTGGGTTTCTTCACGCCAGTCCGGATGCGAGGGTTTGCACCACTGGGCTTCTGGTTGCGGCATCGGTTTCTGTGGATTGTGGTGGCGCATAATTAGGTGACTTTATCTTAGGGTCCCCCACTTCGTACATTCATGAAGTCCTGTTATGCCCCCCTCTCGTGTGTGTGTGTGTGTGAGTGTGTGTGTCAGACACTGCGCCAGACCGCTGAGCTGGTGATGGCGAAAATCCCAGGCTCCCCTCACTGGCTCTGGTCTTGTATTCTTTAGTCATTTCACATGGCACCCCGAGGCAGCTGTTGGAAAGGCGTCTTGACCGGAGTCTGTCTTGAGTTAGGGGCGTTTCTCCAGCGTGACGTTTGACCTGCGATGTGTGGCCAGGGTGGACGGGGGCGGCTTCTGTTTGACTTCTTGTTAGGGATGCGTGCAGGGGCGGAGGAGGCCGTCACCCTCAGAGGATCCCATCAGCCACAGCCTGGGGGATAGAACAGGTCGGACCTGGCGCTGACTCTTTCAGTGATGCCTCAGATCCCTTTCTGGGCGGAGTCTACATGTGTGTAGTCAGCAGGTTTCTTTATTAATTTATTTTCGAGACAGGGTCTCACTAGGTAGTCATGTCAGGCCTGGAACTTGCCTTAACATCAAACTTAACAGGCATCTCTCTGCTTCTGCCTCCCGAGTGCTGGGATTAAAGACATCACGCCTGTCAGATTTCTTAATCTTAAGGGAATTTGTTAGTCTGATTCTTAAGGGAAACAACAGGCATCTGGTGTCCCATTTACTTATTTTCTGAGTTGCTGCCACCCTTCAGCTTTGAGGACTAGATGGTGCCCTCTGCAGTCCATCTAAAGCACACACCACAAGTCTTGCTACACTAACTCTTTCACTCGGGGCTGTGATTTGTGGCCACATGGTGTTGGGGACAGATTTCTTAGCTTCTGTGAAATGATTTTGTTTTGGTTTTCTATGACTAGGAGTCTTCCAAGGTCACTTTAACAGTGACTTTGTCATGGCCCAGTAAGACAGAAAATGTAACTTATTAAGTCCTGAAATGTTTAAGTATTAGATTTTTTTGTTGGCCAGGCTGGTTTTGAATTCCTAGTCTCTAGCAAGGATCCTCCTGCCTCAGCCTTTCAAATTGCTGTAACAGTATGCACACATCACCACAGTACACAGATTCTTCTCCTCCTCCTCCTTCTCTTAATTAAAAAAATAAACATTTATTTTGTGTGAGGGGGCATACATATGTCACGGATTGTGTGGAGATTAGAAGACAATTTTCAGAAATCAGTTCTCTCCTCCCACTCTTATTTAGCATCTGGTGATGTTCAGCCATGGTGCCAAGCGCCTTTACACTGAGCCAGAGAGATAGATGGCTCTTGACTTTTTTTCCTATTATGTTTTTCTTTTTTTTAAACTTTACTTTTAAAGATTTATTAAGTAAACAGTGTTCTGCCTGCATGTGTCCTTGCAGACCAGAAGAGGGCACCAGATTTCATCACAGGTGGTTGTGAATCACCATGTAGTTGCTGAGAATTGAACTCAGGACCTCTGGAAGAGCAGTCAGTGCTCTTAACCACTGATCCATCTTGCCAGCCTTTTATTTTATTTTTCAAGACACGGTTTCTTTGCATAACAGTCCTGGCTGTCCTGGAACTCACTTGGTTGACCAGACTGGCCTTGAATTTACTGCCTCCCAAGTGCTGGGATTAGAGGCGTGTGCCACCACTGCCCAGCCCTGCTAGGTTTCTTAATATTCCTCTTAAGGTTGAAAAGTTTTGTTCTGTATTGTTAGTTTACTTTTTGGTGTTTTAAAACACACTAACTTTTCTTTTTATTATTATTTTGTATGCATATGAAGTGTGTACTTAGGTAAGTATACGTATGAAGATCAGAGGACAACCTTTGGGAGTTTCTTGTTTTCTCCTACAATTTTGGGGGTTCTGGCAATCAAATTTCGAGGCGTACACTTTACCCATTGAGTGGCATACACTTTACTCATCTTGCCAGTTCCTTTTTTGGTTTCTTAAAACAGAATCTGACAGTGTAGCACAGGCTGGCCTCCTGAGTGCTGATATAGTCATGAGCCTCTACACTTAGCTTCTGATAGTTCTAGCACATGTGCCTAGCAAATATGAAGAGCTCAATACATATGGCTGAGTAAAAGTCCGATCATTGATAAGTATCTTACATATTTTCCTTAGTGACTAAAATGGGAATGATGATGTTAGCCATGCTAGTGGCTTAGGCCTGTAATTCCAGAAGCAAGAGGGTAGAAAGTTCAAGACCTTCCTGGGCTACAAAGTGAGTTCCAAGACCAGCCCAGGCAAACTTAGCAAGACCCCATCCTACACTAAGAACAATAAAAAGGACTGAGGTGTACTTAGTGGTAGAGGACTTGCATACCATGTGCTAGTTCTAGGTTATATCCTTAGTTCTAAGAAAAATAATCCTTTCAAATAATGCCGTTCGACCATTTAAAATGAACTTAAAAGAAGTGTCCTGGGATCCTGTTTGCTTCTTTGTAGGACTCTACTTCCCGCCTCAATGATTTACCAGTGTGTCCTGTGCTGTTTTCATGTCTTGGGTTTTGTATTAGTCTAAGAATTTGAGAAATAGTTTGTTTGCACAAATTTGTACCAAAAATTAACCTTGCTATTACAGACTTGTGCCTTTGTTGAGTTGTGGGAAGAGCAAAGAAACCTTTTGTTTGCTGCTAATTTACCTCAATTGGCTTGTGTTTTGTGTTTTTTCTTAGATTCCTCCTGCTAAAGAGAGGAAATCTCATCCAAGGCCACAATGTCACTTCCCAATTATCCAGTGCTGCCTGCTTAAGCTAACACTGCCAGAATCCTGTTCCCTTGGGAGGAATCAAGCTGACTTGGCATGAGGTTCCTGCCTTCCTGGGGTTGAAAGAAGCTCAACTATGTCTTCTCTTGATGACCCAGGGGAAGTGAGGGAAGGCTTCCTGTGCCCTTTGTGCCTGAAGGACCTTCAGTCTTTCTACCAACTTCAGTCACATTATGAAGACGAGCACTCAGAAGATCGTGATGTCAAAGGGCAAATTAAAAGTAAGAAGCCAGGGTTTTGCTCATTCCATTCTATTAAAGAGACCTTACTTAATGAAATAGATTTACTGGGTTATGATGCTGGTAATAATACTAGCAAGCAGATATCTAGTACTTATTTTGTGTTCTGTGTTTTGGTTCTCTGAGTATTTATTTACTCTTTTTGAGACAGAGTCACTCTCTATGTAGTCCTGGCTGTCCTGGAACTCAGTATGTAGACCAGGCTGGCCTCACAGATCCATCTGCTTATACCTCCTGAGTGCTGGCTGGGGTTAAAGGTGTGTGCCACCAAGCCAGGCACTTATTTATCTTATTTAATACACATGGCAGCTGTGCTACTGTGAGTTCCATTTTGCAGGCTAGGTTACCAGATTAAGAAAGTTTAGATAGCCTGCCCAGTCACCCAAATGGAGTAAACCTGGCTTTAAGCTAATAAATGTAACCACTGTGATCTGTTGTCTCTTACTGGATTACTCAGATTATCTCACCTACAGCTGGAATGGTTTGGGCAGGAATGCTTATCCTGTGCTACAGAAATGGAGACCCTGCTGGGCAATGGTGTTGTAGTCCTTTAATCCCAGTACCTGGGAGGCAGAGGCAGGTGGATCTCCAGGAGCTGAAGGCCAGCCTGGTCTACAAAATCAATTTTAGCACAATCAAGACTGTCTCTGAACAAAACAAAACAAAGCAAAACAACAACAAAAAGTGGAGGCTCGATACATGTCATTTGCCTGTCACTAATTTAAACCTTGCTGCCATCCCTCCTTCCCTGGCTAGACTTTGCCTTCTGAAGCCCAGGGAAAGGAATGTAACAGTTGAAAGCAAAGAAAAACAACTCCCAAAGTTCATTTTTTGTTGTCATTGTTTTTGTTTTTTGAGACAGTATTTCTCTGGGTAGCCACGGCTGTCTTGGAACTCATTCAGTAGACCAGGCTGGCCTTGAACTCAGAGATCTGTCTGCCTCTACCTCCTGAGTGCTGGGATTAAAGGCATGTGCCACCACCACTGACCCAGCTTCCCACCACCAGCACCACAAGCCAGTGTTTCTCTTTGTAATAGTCCTGGCTGTCCTGGAACTCACTATAGAGACCAGGCTGGATTTAAACTCACTGAGATCTGCCTGCCTCTGCCTCCAAAGTGCTGGGATTAAAGGTGTGGGCCACCGTCTCCTGGCAGCATTTTTTTTTACGCTTCCAGTTGTACAGAGAAATCTTCAAAGGTAATTTTGGCTGTATCTAATGTTCTAACCTCCAAATAAATCACTGCTTCTCTAGAGCTTGCTTTCCTAGTGAGCTAAGTTTCATCTCCTACTTGGCAGCATTTCTGAAAGCCCCCAAGAGTCACAGAGTGTGGACACTGGATTTATAATCTATACTGGGTGGAGAGAAGGCTGAACCACTGGATGGTGTTTCTAGTGGACTCTGTTCTCCAGACATGTGATTCACATGTTCCTTATAATCAAATATTTGTTCCTGGACTTCTAGCCTCCATTTTTCAGTTAATTAAAAAAAAAAAAAAAAAAAAGAGCCAGGTGATGGTGGTGAATGTCTTTTGTCCCAGTAGTCCAGATGTAGAGGCAGGTGGATATCTGTGAGTTCGAGGCCAACCTACTCTACTTAGCAAGTTACAGGACAGCTAAGAACACACAGAGAAACCCTGTCTCCAGAAGCAAAACAACAATGCTGGGAATATCATTATAACATTAGTTATAATTTCCATACAGAAACATGGAGTCTGACATTTTCAGAATCCTCAGGGCTGATTGTCCAGGAACCTGCTGACTCTAGATGCTGAAGCAGAACCAGGAACTGCTAAAGGGAGTGCAGGAAAGGGTGGTGCTTTGTAATGTTTGCAGTTTCTTTCATATGTACTGTCATGTCACTTAGCTCTCCCGGACCCTACTGGAGGATCTTGGTGTAATTTTACAGGGAAGTGTGGCTCAAAGTTGACCAGTAATGTTTTCAAGGCCACACAGCAATTGGCAGAAATAGATATGGACCCCAGATCTTCTGCCACATGGAAGTCCAGTGCAGCTTTTTCTGCAGGGCATCTCTGGTGGTGAAAGACCCTCTCTCTAGTCTGATCACAGCACACTTTGCAACTTCCAGGAGGAAGAAAGGGTGGGAGGAGCGCCAAACCAGATTATCTAAGTTTCCTGTGGCCGGCCAAAGGGTTTGAAAGAGCTTCCTATCTTAGCATTGCTGACCTCAACTATATACCATGCTACTCAGAGGTCTAGATAGGCCAGACTGTGAAAAGGTTAGAAGTGCCCTCAGACTTCCATAGTAACCTTTTACTTTTTGAACTTTTATTATTTTTATTTTATGGATATTGATGTTTTGCCTGTATAAATGTCTATACACTGCTTGTATGCCTGGTACTCACAGAGGATAGAAGAGAACACTAGATCCCCTGGAACTGAAGTTACAGACAATTGTGAGCCCCCCGTGGATGCTGTGAATTGAATCCAGGTCCTCAGAAGGGCAGCAATGCTCTTAACTGCTGAGCCATCTCTGCAGCCCCTTACAGGAACTTTTCTAAACAAGGAAAGTGTTCACTGTTTATAGAATGTTAGAGAAGTGAATCTAGAAAATACACAGCATGAATATGTCTTGTGGAAAGAATCTTATATAGGTCCTCCAGGATGGGCTTTCTACAGAGTAGGGCATAGCTTAGAGCACTTGCTGGGCCCTGGCTTCCACACAGAAGGAAAAAAATCCTCTTGTTTTCATTCTTTTTATTTCTACCTCAAGAGAACCAACATTCTTTTTTTTTTGTTTGTTTTTTTTTTTTTTTTTTTTTTAAGACAGGGTTTCTCTGTAGCTTTGGGGCCTGTCCTGGAACTTGCTCTGTAGACCTCAAACTCACAGGGATTCTCCTGCCTCTGCCTTCCAAGTGCTGGGATTAAAGGCATGCACCACCACTGCCTGGCTCCAACATTCTAACACTAGTAGTCATTTTGTTAGTTAAGATGAAATTCTTTTTTTTTTTAATGTTTCTGGTATAAACTTTTTTGTTACATTTATTTAGTATGTGTATTTATGTATGTGAACACACATACTGTGGCAGTGTGTGACGATCAGAGGACAACTTGTGATGATAGTTGGTTCTCTCTTTATACTATGAGGGTCCTGGAGTTTAAACCCGGGCACTCAGGTTTGGCTTTAAGCATTACCTCCTGAGCCATCTGGAAGGTCTCATTTTTGTTTTCAAACAGAGTTTCTTATAGTATCCCAGGCTGGCCTCTAACATAGTGGTGGATATCCTTGTACTGATCTACTAGCCTCCACTTCCAAGTTCTTGGATTTTAGGTATGTCTCACCATGCCCTGGTTGGGTAGAATTCTTAGGTTGCAGGTCTTTGTGCTCTAGTCGTCCTAGTGCTGGAGAGGCAGAGTTGGGAATGTAGCTAGCTGCAGGTTAGAAGCTAGCCTTTCAAAAAAGCCAATAGAGGAAGTGAGAAAGTAGGAAAAGATTGACATAGAATTTTCTGAGAAGCCTTTTAAAAAGCATTTCATCTCTCCATTTGGTCTGTTGATCCTTCAGAAGTTTTATTTATTTAATTTATTTTGAAATAAGGTCTCTCTCTGTAGCTCTGGCTAGCCTGGAACTCACTATGTAGACCAGATTGCCTTGAACCCACAGAGATCTGTCTGCCTCTGCCTGTGTACCATCATTCCCATAGGTATTATATTTGTAAACAATAAGAAATGGAGCACTAAAACATTGCATATAGGTATCAGGTTTCAAAGGCAGTTATTAAAATTACATTTATTCATTTATTTTTATTTTGGTCCAGGGCATGTGCCACGGTGCATATGTGGAGGTCAGAGGACAACTCATGGGAATAAGTTTTCTTTCTGCCGTGTGGGTCCTGGGGCTCACACAGCTTTTTACTGGCTGAGCTATCTCACTGTCCTCTCGGGGCAGTTTTAAGCAGCCAACACTAACTCACCATTTCTGAAAGGTGGTCTGTAGGTTTGAACTCTGGCCCAGGTCCAGGTGAAGTTAAGCCATTTTTCAGTAGGTAGAGGAAAAGGTGGTTGAATGTTGACTGTAGCTTCTGTTTGGTTTTCAGAGATGTATGGATTAGTTAACTGGGCCACTTTGGAATGGCTGTATCAACCTTGAGATGGCTGCTGGGAAGTTCCTTTATCATCCAAAGTAGTTCAGCCTTGTTTGCAAAATGAAGAGTTATACCTTTAATCCCAGCACGTGAAGGGCAGAGCTAGGTGAATCTCTCTCTTCTAGTTCAAGAGTGTTCTATGTGGCAAGTTCTAAGATAGTCAGAACTATGTAGAGAGACCCTACCTACCTCAAACAAACAAGTCCACCATGCTCATTGAGTTTGATTTGGCTCCTTTTATGTAGATGGACTACTAAACTTGGGGAAAGCACTAGCTTGGTTTATGAATAGCATTCTGCTGGTGCTGACTTCTGTGGGGTTGGTAATAAGGTATTTTTCTCACTGCTTCATTTCTTTGGAGAATATTTTTATGCATTTTAAAATAAGGATGATTATTTTTGTATAATCTTGGGCTCATTTGTGATGCTTGTTTCATTTCTTCAAGATCTTGTTCAGAAGGCTAGGAAAGCAAAGAACAAGTTGCTGAAGCGCGAAGGGGATGATCGAGTGGAGCCAGGGGCCCAAGGATACGAGTCATTCAGCTATGGAGGGGTTGATCCTTACATGTGGGAACCCCAGGAGCTTGGTAAGAATACTCATTCATTCACTCATTCAGTGCTTATGAAATATCCACCCTGTTTTAGGTCATTTTTTTTTCCAACTTTAAAATTTTATTTCACAATTACGACACGTACACACTTTGATTCTATTTTTCCTGTATTAGTCAGGTTCTCTAAAGAAACAGAACCAATAGGATATGGTTCTTGTAGTCCAAGACTGTCTCAAGTCTGAAAGGATGAGAATCTGGTAGATGTTCATCTCTGTAGTCACAATCTGGTTCTGTGTTCTCAAGGACTCCTGGTGAGCTGCTGGTCTTCAGTCTGTGTTAGAATCCTGAAGAATGTGGATGTAGTGGCGGCTGCAGCAGCAGGATAGATGAATTTGCCAGCGAGAGGGAGGGCAAGCAGTCTAAAAGCAAAGTCTCTTCTTCCAGTCTCTCATGTGGACTGTCACCGGAAGGTGTGGCCCAGGTTTAGGACAGATCTTGTTTTAAATAATCTAAGAAGATCCTTCACAGTAGTCCCCAGCAACTTGGATTTTAGTTGATTCAGGTACAGACAAGTTGACAGACCAGAATAGTCATCACATCCCTCTTGTACCAACCTCTCTGTTCCCCTCCCCTCTCCAGTGAATCCCTTCTTCCTAACAAGACATCCTCCTGCTTTCATTGTTTTAGAGCTGATTGAGAAAGCTTCAGTAAACCCTAAGAGTCAAGCATTGTAATTGGCCTTATGTCCTCACAGGGAGAGAAAAAGAAGGAAATGAGCTGAGAACTCTTAAGTTAGGCACTGTATTAAATGCTCTGTATGTGTGTCCTCCTTGGAGTGTCACTGTCCTCTGTAGGAACCTGCTGAGGATCAGACAGCTGTTAAACTGCAGCAGTAGAGTGTGATTCTGGGTCCGTCTCATGTCAGCCTAGCCACAGACCCCATTGACAGATGTGTCTCCATTTAGGTTACCTGACAAGTGAGAGGCTCTGTACACTTTACTTTTCTGATGTGCATAATTATGACTTTATCTGTTTAGTTATTTTAACTGGAAGTGCTGGGGATAGGACCCAGGGCCTTGGCTGTGCTACAGAGCTATATCCAGCTTTACTTGATTTTTTATTATTTATTTACTTATTTATTTATTTGTTTGTTTGTTTTTGAGATAGAGTCTAGCTATGCAATTTTGTTTATCTTGGAACTCACTCTGAGATCAAACTGGCCTTGAGATCTACCTGCCTCTGCCTCCCAAGCGCTGGAATTAAAGCTGCCCAGCTTTTTATTTTGATAAAAAACTACATTGTACTAAGCCACAAAGTAGTCTAGTAACTTAACTGAGGTTACTTAGTATCTAGCAGAATTGAAATTTGAGCTCAGGCTAGCTCTAATATAACCTCATTTGCTGTACTTTGAGACTTTTAACATTTTGGTAAGGCTCTAAAACCCTAAATTTTTTTACTTGTTTTTCAATTCATCAAGGATCTAGAGAGGCCTCATGAGAATCATTAACAAATCATTTATTTTTCCTTCCCCCTTAGGTGCTGTGAGAAGCCATCTTTCTGACTTCAAAAAACATCGTGCTGCAAGAATTGATCACTATGTTGTTGAAGTCAACAAATTAATAATCAGGTTGGAGAAGGTAAATTTTCCAAGTACAAATTTCTAGCGTGTGTTATGTGAGTGATATATATCTGATTCTGAGAGCTGCAGAGGACAGGCTTGGCCTGGACTGGCCTTCCTGAAGTGAATGCCTCACACTGATAGACTTGCCCAACTCCCCTTTTCCGCCTTTTACCTCCACTTACTGCTTTAAAACTTTCTGTTCTAGAGTTGTCCTGGGCAGTCACTCTGGGGCACAGTGTGTGATGTCATTTGATGGCAAACAAGCAGTGTGCAGCTCTGTGAGTTCTCAGTCAGGGCTGGGGCTAGTGTGTGTAGGCTAGGCCCTCTTGGGGAGCCTTTCTTGCCCTGTAGTGCTAGATTATGCCTGCAGCAGTGCCATGTTTGGGTTGTACCCTGACCCTAGTATATACACTTGTTATATATCTGAATTATGTGGGGGCATGAGGTAGCATTTGTAGGCATAGTCCCTGTTTTCATTTTTGTGGTGCCCCAGCAAGCACTCGACTACCAACTAAGTCCCAGACCAGGAAAGTTCTTACAGGTATAGCTGTTTATGAAACTAACATGTACCTTGTGAAATTGTTTGGATAACTGGGGTTGGGACTGACCCGTGAGCCTTAATAATGCAAATGTGCATTGTCTGCTGAGTATGAGTGGCAGAAGTGTGGAGCATGTCCCTCAACAGTAACTCTGTTTGGCTTTATGTTTTCCTGTTCAGCTCACTGCATTTGACAGAGCAAATACTGAGACTTCAAAGATTAGAGGTAAATCCAGACCTTTGCTCACAGTCATTCCATTTTGGCTTTCTCCCTGAGAATAACTTCAGAATGCTGAACTGCTTTTTCCTTTTTTTCCTTCCAAAGCAATAGAAAAGTCCGTGGTGCCTTGGGTCAATGACCAGGATGTTCCCTTCTGTCCAGACTGTGGGAATAAGTTCAGCATCAGGAACCGTCGTCACCACTGCCGCCTCTGTGGGTCTATCATGTGCAAGAAATGTATGGAGCTCATTGGCCTGCCCTTGGCAAGTAGGTGATGTGGCTGTGGGCCCTGAACCCCAATCTCTTTTGGGATTAGTGAGTGTGGCTAGGCCCTTAGGACCACTTGTTTAATTAATGACCCACAGGATCTTCCTTCATTTGCTTGTTGAGTTCAAGAAGCCCACTACAGCCTGGACACTGTGTTAAGGCCCAAGGATGTAGTGGCCTGTACAGGCTGATGAGCGTTGTTTCTTTTCTTCTCTTCTCTTCTCTTCTCTTCTCTTCTCTTCTCTTCTCTTCTCTTCTCTTCTCTTCTCTTTTCTTTTCTTTTCTTTTCTTTTCTTTTCTTTTCTTTAGAAAAGGGTGTTGGAGTCCCTGGAACTGGAGTTACAGATAGTTATAAGCCCCTATATGGGTTCTGGGAACTGAAGCTGGGTCCTCTGCAAGAGCAGCAAGTACTTTTAACCAGTTCTGAGCCTTTTTTTAATTGTTTATTTGTTTTTTATTTCTTTTTTTAATTCTGTATACAGTGTTCTACCTGCCTGTATGCCTGGAGGCCAGAAGAGGGTACCAGATCTTTTTTTTTTTTTTTTTTTTTTTTTTTTTTTTTTTTTTTTTTTTTTTTTCTTTCTTTCTTTCTTTCTTTTTTCCCAGTGGTTCTCTGTTGGCCTGGCTTTCTTGGACCTCACTCTGTAGATCAGGCTGGCCTCTAACTCAGATTCACCTGCCTCTGCTTGCCAAGAGCTGGGATTAAAGGCATGTGTCACCACCCAGCCCTGAAATTTTTTTTTTTTAAATAAAGAATCAGATAAGGTTTTTTGGGGGGTGTTTTTTTTTTTTTTTTTTTTTTTT